ATGCTAGCCGGTCCCACGGTCAGTTTTCCAGCCCTCAACAGGCTTGAGGGAGACTCGTGCGCAACACAGGAGTGAACCTATACGGTGTGTGGAGAGGGAGTGAAGAAGCTGCCACATCCCCAAGACATTCAAGGACACAAAAAGGCACCAAAGAGGGCAAAGTGAAGGGGGGAAAAGGCAAAACAAAGCATCTGGACAGAGCAGAGAGTGAAAAATGACAAAAACGCAATGAAAAACCATGACACCAACCCATTATCAAGTTTCACAAAATTGGTCCCATAGTATAAATGCCAATAAGTCAAAGTGAAGGTCGAACCCAAAAGGTTAGAGATGGCTCTCAATGGGAAATGTGATTATAAATAGTTAGGGTCGTGTTTCCCGTGTGGCCTGAGAAAGTCTATCTTGGGGGGTGGGGACAACTTGTAAGTACCAGGCGATCGAATGGCCTTTTCCTAAAAAGAGAATAACTTTTAAAACCAAGTCTAATTATACTTCGTGCAAATAAGAAGAGAAGGGCACAGAGGAGGGAAGGCACAGACATGGATTGGGACGGTTAATTCCCCAGTCCATAAAGTGTTTCAGGAGACCCCATAACAGACAACGCAAACAGAAAACCCAACGGAATCCTTGCAGAGAGTAATCGCCTTGATTACGCTGACTGGGGTAGGTTCAATAACTACCCCTTAAAATGCCATTTTATTGTAACTTGATATCACTCTGAGCTATTTCAGAGCCATCAAATTAGGCTCTTTTTGGAAAGGATAAAACAGTTGACTCTCAAAGTGAAAAAATCTAATTTAGAACTTCTTAGCTCATTCTACATTCTCTTCCAAAAAAGCGCTTCAGTGATAGCCCACGCGCCTGATGATGGTTTTGGAAAAGACAAGCATTCAATGCCGACTTCCCTCCTACGCTTTCCACAAGAGTCCATTTTTAGCCACATTTACACCCTGCAGAAAACGGTGTTGTGTTTCTGAAACTCTGTCCAGAGCTCACTATGCAAGAAGACAAGTCATCCCTAACTTTCAGAGCAGTGCTGACCTGCCCATGTGCTCCGTTCTCCAGAGGCCCTGAATATGCTCTTTTATTTTTTCAACAAAGCATGTTAGCAGGTCACTTGCACGTTTCTTTTTCCGCCTGCAAATACTTCACAGCGAGTGTAACATAAAAGTTATGAGTCAAATGGGAACGTTTCGGTCCTCTGTATTCTTGGGACCAACCTACAGTAGTTTAAATTTTAGATAAATACAAAACTATACCCCTGGCCAAAAAAAAACCCACCAAAAACAGCTGAGCGAACATGCAAAACTCTGAGACTGAACAAAATTTTTTTTTAAAAAAAGGGCCCTTTAGGGCTCTCACCAAAAACACACAATTACCTCCTCTCTACTCCGCATCCCCGAGGTCCCATTCTAGGATTTTACACGTGGCTCTGCTTGGTTTCCAACACTAAACAGGATTTTGAATCTGTTCTTTAATCCACCTGAGAATTACTTCACTATGGTCAGCACAATGTCTGGCCACACTTGAGGTGAAATGATTGTTGGAACTCGGGGCAGCCCAGAGAAAGCAAAAACTTCCAAAAGCTTAGAAAAATTTCCTAGCACTACCTAAAGCCCTCTTCTTTATTTTCACTTCCTCCACAACAGAACTAGCGGTACATGCGGGGGATGGGGGTGGGGGGGCGGCTGAGAGTACTTCCCGCTCTTCACGGTGGGCGACTATGACCCTCAGGCCGTTTTCTGCGCTGTCCTGTACATCCTCGCCACTCAAATGTGGATCGGGGACCACCAGCATCCACACCACCGGGAAACTTGCAGGAAATGCAGACTCTCAGGCCCCACCCTAGATCTGCCAGCAAAATCTGCATCAGAAACAAGACCCCCAGGTGATTCATATACAGCACATTTTGAGATGCACTGCTCTAAACCAAACGGGAATTCAACTAACAGCTGTGAGCCATTTATGGACTCTAAGAGGTCATATTTCGGGAATATAAAAATTTCCCTCAGCATTCTACTGTACATCAGAAATTGACGCAACATTATAAACTGACTATATTTGAATAAATAAATATATATATATATATACACACACACACACAAAATTGTCCTGGAATTGTTTATAAAGACACAGAAAAATACCTATTTGACACCTTTTACCAGCTACTATTTGACCTCAAACAGTAATATCTTTTTTGTTATTGTGGTTAAGATACACATACTAACTTAAAATTTATCATTTTAATCCTAAGTGTACAGTTCAGTGGTATTAAGTACATTCACACTGTTGTGTAACCATCATCATGATCCTGGCTTTCATCTTACAAAACTAAAACTCTATACCCATTAGACAATAACTCTTCCTTCTCTCTTTACCCCAGAAACACCAATATTTTTAAGACCCTTTAATAACCTACCAAATTGGGTTGAAATTAGCCAATACCCTGAAAAGTTACCATAGGGTTTACCAGGACAAGGCCATGCTCTACATCTTTGACCCTGATTCCCTCAAGAATCTATCCCTGCCCAGTTCGAGAGCGGGTGTTCCAGTCCCAGGTGCCAGGACCAGTTAATGGACTTCTCCTGATCCTTGGTGGCTACGCCTGTATGTTCCATAATGAACCTGTGATGTAGGGAGAGGAAGAAGTTGGTCAGGAGAGAGAGAAACTAGTCCTTTGGCCACTGCTTGTTCTTGATCCACGTCTGAACCCAGTTCTTTCCAACCTGCCCCTCTTCTCTATTTCAAACCCTGTATTTCCTACATGGGTCGCCCAGCTAATTACACTTGTTATACTTGGGGACAACAGAGTAGACAGTGTAAGACCAAGGATTTGCTGACCGATTGAAGATTGCGGGTCAAAGTTGGCAGTTGTTTTCATGTTTCAGTATATACTTTTCTGGTTTAGTTCTTTCTAAACCCACAATCCATAAATACTGGCAAGGGTAAAAACAGAACTGCTGGCCTGACCATCCCTTTCCACGCCCCCCTCGCCAAGAGCCACCCATCGACCAGCTGGCAATGGTCTCACGTGACACAGACTCCGTTAGGTGAAACAAGCCAGTAGCCAAAAAGGACAAATACTACATGATTCCACTCCTCCAAGTACCTGAAGTAGTCAAAATCAGAGACAGGAAGTAGAAAGGTGATTACGAAGGCCCGGGGGAGGAGCGATGGGGAGTTAAGCGGTTGGTGGGTACAGAGTCTCAGGACTGCGAGATGAGAAAGTTCTCGAGATCTGCTGCACAGCAGTGCGACTGTCCTTGACACTACAGAAATGTGCACTTAAACGTGGTTAGGATGGGGATTTTAATGCTGTGTTTTTTACCACAACTTCTTTTCAGAAATGGCAAAGTTAAAAAAGAAAAGCAAAGGAAATATCATTAGGATTAAAAAATAATTCGACAAAAAAATTTCATTAAAACCTATTTTACAATCCTTTCTGGGACAGAGGGACATAAGCCAAGTACACTGTTTACATACTGTTTTCCTTTTTTAAATCATCTTAAAAAGCGTGTATAAGGAACTGAATTTGCATCTGGGAAAAGTGAAAAGGCAACACAGAGTGAAGGTGACCACTCTACATACAGGAACTTAAACATCTAAGCAGTGCCCTGAAGCAAGGCACTTAGTCTTAGCTTATAGGTGGCACTACACCACCTGAGAACCCAATGGGAAAGAGACCAGACCGGGCATCGGTGTCTGTGAGACGCGTGGTCTCTCTTCCCTGCCTCTCCCTGCCCCCACCCCCACTCTCCACCTACACAAAACTGCTGTATCTTCACCACCAAATACTGAAGAGCCATTCAAAGACACTCAGACGAAACAGAAACTGAGGAACTGCAAGATAGTCCAGAAACATCACTGCTTATGAAGCCTAGAAATGAGGAAGGTACCACCAAGGGGACCATCTCTGCTCAAGGTTTTGATAACCAAGAAGTCCATCAGCCTCAGACTACACAACGCTGACCTTGAAGTTTTTGGTCTCAACTTGCAAACAAAATTCAGAAACTATGAGTTTTAAATACTGGCGTATGAAGTCCTTTTAGTTCTTTATGTCATAAATTGTAATATGTGTCTTGGAGGGAGGGATCCATTTTTAACATTAAAATTGGCTTCCTTTGGGATTAGCAGATGCACACCACTGTATACAAAACAGATAAACAACAAGGACCTACTGTTTAGCAGAGGGAACTATATTCAATATCTTGTAATAACCTGTAACAGAGAAGAACCTAAAAGGAATACATATGTATAACTGCATCACTCTGCTGTACACCTGAAACTAACAAAACATTGTAAATCAAATATATGTCAATTACAAAATTTTTTTAAAATTTGTTTCCTTCTAAAATGGAGATGCTGGTCTCCTTTTACAATTGTCCAATGTAATCAGTGAGCCAGATTCTGGATTCAGGTATTTATTTTCAGTGATACGGCTTTTCACTTGTTTTACACTAGACAATGGGGAGCCTGGAGCAGTGATTCCCACAAACAGAAGGTGCTTCTTCCGCTGCTCAACAAGGTGGATGAGGAAGCGCAGGTTGGGGGGTTTGGTCCGTTCTGTCCTTGCAGGGATGAGGACACCACTGCATTCTCCACGGCAGGCCAGTATTTCCAACGCTAGGAATGTTTAAGAACTTTAAAGGAGAGTGGTAACGAAATCAATTGGCAAATAACAATGTATTTGAACTTTTTCTCCAATTGCTGGCACCCTGTTACTTCTGATTCTTCCAGATCCCCAGGAAGGACCAGCCAAGTGTAGTGCTCTCTGTCCCAAACTGGCTGGAACACTTCTATTCTGATTTGGCGGAATTTTTTACTGCCTCACTCACACACTCAAGGGGTGCATTATATACTCCTTTTTGAGATTCCATTTTTATCACTTAGAAAAAATGTTTAAGGCATGAGGGGCAGGGAGAGAATGCACACATGCCCTTCGGAAGGCCACCCAAGGAAGGAGAACCCTGTGTCCCGCAGCGGCAGGCTCTGATGCTCACCTGACCATAGTCTGTCCGGAAGACGACGACGCCCTCGGCACAGGAATCTACAGTACTTGGAAAATGCTGGCCATTCTCTCTGAGCCAGACCCGTGCTCCCTGCAAACAAAACAAACAGGATTTAACTATGAGTCTGCATTGCATTCTGTGGCAAAACACCACCTTTAAAATTACTATGACTACTGCCTTCCTGAAAAAACCACTTTTTGAAAAGCAGATGTCTTCCTCAAACAAGGAAGGAATGACTCTTCAAAGAAAGTGTTGTCCACAGCCTTAGTTACGTACAAGTGTGACCAAGAAAGGGTCCCACCAGGCAGAGGAAACAGCACTAAAATGCAACTGATTTATAAGGAGTCTCTCATTTCAGTAAGGCACCCACTTTGAGGCAAGAACCAGTATCATCCCATTTTATGGATGGAGAACTGGAGGCCTAGAGGTAAAGAAATTTGCTCCACACCACATATCCAGAAACCACAAATTTAACAAGGTCACTGCACTGTTTCATCCTAAGCTGAGAACTCTTTGGGACCCTCAGGCTCCCCTCTTTCCAGGTCCAAGCCCCATGCACCTGCCCACTTGGAGGGCATCAGGGCACTCCACTGACTTCCTGGTTGTACCAAAGCCATGTGTCAACTGGACTCTCCAAGAGAGGGACTGAAGTTTTAGTAAAGATTAGAATCCAATCCAGCAGACACCTAATGCACCCCAAAGTTTGGGATGAGAACCCAAGAGACAGCAACTTCCAGATCCTACTGTTTTAACCTGGGGCACGATTTTTTTTAGCATTGACTTCATTTCCATTTTATATTTTCCCACCAGACAAATGAAATGATACTCTTAATATTTAGCTTTTCAATGCTGAATTTCCTCTTCCTTTGATTTCACAGCATGAAAACCGTTTGTTTTCAAGGGTGAATGATTACAAAGTTTCAAGAAATTACTGGGTGTTCACTGGTCATTCAAATTATAAAGTTCCCTTTATGGGAACTCTTGTACACTGTTGGTGGGAATATAAAACGGGTGTAGCCACTGTGCAAACAGTATAGAAGTTCCTTAAAAAACTAAAAGTAGAACTATCATATGACCCAGCAATTCCACTCCTGGGTATACATCCAGAAAAAAAATGAAAAGACTAGCTTGAAAAGATACATGCACCCCAATGTTCACAGGAGCACTATTTACAATAGCCAACACATGGAAGCAACCCAAGTGCCCATCAACAAACAACTGAATCAAGAAGATGTTTATATATATGTGTGTGTGTGTGTGTGTGTATACACACAATGAAACATTACTCAGCCATAAAAAAGAAATACTGCCATTTGCATAACATAGATGGACCTAAATAGTATTATGCTTAGTGAAATAAGTCAGACAAAAGAAAGACAAATACTGTGTGGTATCACTTGTATGTGGAATCTAGAAAATAATACAAATGAATGTATATGCAAAACAGAATGAGACTCACAGATACAGAAGACAAATCAGTGGTTACCAAAGGGTAGAGGACGGGAGGAGGGACAAATTAAGGGTATGGGATTAACAAATACAAACTACTATATACAAAATAGATAAGCAACAAGAATATACTGTCTAGCACAGGGATTTATATCCATTATCTTGTAATAACCTCTAATGGACTATAGTCTGCAAAAATACTGAATTACTATGCTGTACACCTGAAATTAACCCAATACTGTAAATCAACTATGCTGTAATTTTAAAAATACTCAATATGAAAAAAAGAATTACTTTTATGACTGATGATGTATACCCAATGTAATGCAATAGCTTTAGTATCTCATGTTATTTCTACTCTGCTCAACAATTTCATCAACTCCAACAAAGATGGAACAGTGGAAATACGATACCAAAATTATCATCTGACATAGCAGTTACACTGAACTTCTTTTCCTAGAACTTTCGATCTCATTTCATCGGTCTGCTTAACTTCTGTTACAATTTAAAATGTTAAATGAAATATTCAAAATACATTGGCTAAACATTCAACTTCTAGTTCGAGGGACTACTACTGTTCTGTTAACACAGATGGCAGATGATAAATATTATAGAAGTAAACTAAGTAAACTCATCATTTTACGCTAGTTTAAATTGTGTTCTTGATACCATAAACAGTAGCTTAGTAATGGAGTGTCCACGGGGTGTCACAGTCACGTGCTAAGAGCCTCAAAATAATAGTAGCACTAACCTAACCCTCGGTAAGACAGGAATTCCCACCCCAAAACTGAGGTTCACAACTTAAGTCCCTGCCTAATGTCACATAGCTGGTGACCAAGCCAGGTCTCAAATCTTTCCAATTCCCAGATCCATGCTCTTTCCACACACACTATTTGACTCCTTCAAATAATTCATTAATAAATAAAATGCATCGATAGGTCAGTCAACAACTAAAATATAACCACACACAAAGGTCCCTCTAGGTAGGCCAATTATCACACCCAACTCCTTCTAGAAGGGAAAATTTAAGTTAGAAAAATCCAACTTACAATTTACTCCCTCAGTGCCAATGATGACCCTGTTTAAAACACACCAGCCAGGACCTAAAACATCTGTCGTCACCACTGTTACTCGGGATCCTCACTTACTCAACCTCGAGTGTGATGAAAGCATTTGGGGAACAGCAAGCTGGACCTCCGGGCTCTGGAAGGAGTGGGACCCAGAGGCGGGGCCACAGGTACAAGCATTTGCAAGAAGTTCAAGGTGGCTGGAGCCCAAGGCTGAAATGGCATTGGCTGCAATTCCCCTTGTGAGTTCTGCGACTCTCCTGGCAGCCCCTACTAGGACCCTACACAAGGCCCTCCCCGTGGGCGTCCCCTCTCTCTTTATTGTGAAAATTTTAAGTTGTCAACTCTAAACTTCTTCAATCCTCCACGATGAAGATGGAAAACAACATCAAAAACGAATAGTAAGTGTTTCTCTATAAATTCTGAAGACTGCCTTCTTTAAAGAACACGATAACGCCAACGGGACGAGTTCCCATCCCCGCACAAGTCAGTCACATACCAATGATTCCCACTTTGGGCTGAGACACAGGTCCCCAGCTTCCAGAAAGAATGACACAACTGATTGTCAGTCCTGATTTCTTTATGCGCAAACAGCTGCTTTCTCAAAAGAACGTTTACTGCAAGCATCTCTGACTGCTTTCAAGTATCATTCCACACCAAAACCACAGTATCTGTAATGCTCTAGAAAGAGACTTCCAAGTACCTGAACCACTTTTGCATCCTTTTTTAAACCCACATGTCAGAGACTGCAACATGGGAAGCTTTGAAATACCTATACGTACACACACATACACGCAAATGAAAATTTTCAAAGTCATAAAGAAATTTACTTATTAGGTAAAAATTATAAAATAATTCAGTGGACCTCCATCCCACAATCCTGAATCCAAAGCTTTCTGTTTGCTACAACTATCGCCTGCATCATTTTATCAAAAAGGATTTCACGTATGTGTTTCTCAATGATCAAAATCCTCCACTTAGTATGAATTAAGACTACGTTACGAAACATTATTGAATTACTATAAATTGTCCCCAGGATTAGTGTAAACCTTCCGACTCCCAGAGGCTACACAGCTTACAGTTTCTTTTACTTGAGTTTTGCTGTGGTTCTTTTCAACCTTCTCACTTGAAAGTATTACAAAGCCCTTTGTTGACACAGTCCTACACGATCAAACACACAGTGCAACTTCCGGAGTCCAAAGGTCTTTCTCAACAGGTGTGAAGAGCTGCTGATAAACAAGTTCTACAAAACCTAGCCCAGATTTCAAATCTAGAGCCCACTGGCTGGTATTTCTCAACCTACAGTGGAGTCCTCCACAGGTAGAAAGGGAAATACATTCAAAACATGCCCTTTGTTCTTTGAAAAAGTTTAAACAGGCATTTTCATAGAATCAAAATTGCAAAGTCAAACTGTTGAAATGGATATTTTTATACAGATTGTTCTGGGTGGTTTCTCTCAGCCCCCAAACTTTCTGTTCCCTTCTATTTGAATAGAACACATATGCCCAGGTCCAGCAAAGAGGCCACCCACAGGCACTGGAAAACAAAGTCACATTTACCAGACCATCCAAGTTTGAGTGGGGAATAAAAATTTGCCCGCCATATGCAAACCATTATATCCTGTCATTGTTAAATAAGGCTGATAATTTAAGTACAATGCAGGCATATGGAGAAAGCTCCCAGCATATAGAGAAAACTCACTATTGGAGAAAAATATGCCTCTAAAAGCAGGTGGAAGAAGTTTGATCATGAAATACATGTTTTATTAAATCTTGGGACATTTTCACCTTAATCTGAGACAATATGTGTTAAATTAAACTTCTAAAAACTTTTCTGCACATCACCAGCAACAGTTTTACAAGACAAAGCACTTGCATATAAATTCCCATTTCTTTGATCTTCAGAACAATCCTCTAAGATAGGGAAGTAAGTAATACCTTCCCTTCTTCAAAAACGAGGTTCATAGGCATTCCATTTTTCCACTGCCAGCAAAAGATTTCCTGACTCACCCTCTCTTCCACGGCGCTACCTACGGAGGTGGCAGCCATCTCACAGTCGGCATCATGGCCGCCCTCAGACCCCTCGTGAAGCCCAAGATCATCAAAAAGAGGACCAAGAAGTTCATCCAGAACCAGTCAGACCGATATGTCAAAATTAAGTGGAACTGGCTGAAGCCCAGAGGCACTGACAACAGGGTGCGCAAGAGGTTCAAGGGCCAGATCCTGACGCCCAGCACTGGCTACGGGAGCAACAAGAAAACAAAGCACACGCTGCCCAGCGGCTTCCGCAAGTTACTGCTCCACAACGTCAAGGAGCTCGAAGTGCTGCTGATGTGCAGCAGATGTTACTGTGCTGAGATTGCTCACAACGTCTCCTCCAAGAACCGCAAAGCCACTGTGGAGAGAGCAGCCCAGCTGGCCATCAGAGTCACCAATCTGAACGCCAGGCTGTGCAGCAAAGAAAACAAATAGGCAGCTCGTGCACATTGTATTTGTGTTAATAAAACCATGAAACTCAAAAGAAAAGAAAAAAAAAGAAAAAGATTTCCTGGCTCTAATTTAAAAAAAAGACTGA